CCTGAGTAGCTGTGAACAGAACTTGCTGCATGGGTTGGGTGATTTGCCATTCACTTTAGTTTTCCTCTTTTCATTGCTTTCCTGATGTAAAATTGAAGGGGGAATGGGAGCAACTGAAACCCTTGGTTTACTATTTAATCAGCTGCTGCTTGGTCTGTCTCACGATGTGAGAATATGAAGTTTTCCCATGCAATACAGGCAGATGAAATACTACAGACAGTGGTAACCCCCAGCTCTGGCGATGGAAAACCAGTCCCTGGTGTGCCTCCTCCTGGGAGCTGACCACACGTTGCACATGAGAAACTCTGTGGCTTTTCAGCAAGCCTTTTGGCTGCAGTATGGTAGTGGGAAGAAAGTGGATCCCCTCATTTTCCCTTCTCTGTGAATATTACCCACACACACATGCATAGAGAAAACACCTGGGCTGTGAGTGGTGTCCAGGAGGAAGCAGTGCATGTCCCTTGGGATGCTTTTGAAGCTCTTCCCTGGATCCACCTGCCTTTTCGCCAGTTCCCTTCCACTCTGAGCCCATCACACACCAGTGGTTGTTCATTTGTAAGCTCTCTTGCCAGGGAACCAAGTCTGCTGATAACTTTCTTTCATTCCTTTCCCTGCAGGGAATAACAAGCGGTGTGTTTTACTTTAATGAAGGCTGTGGTGACTACTTTAACTAAGCATCTTCATTTCTTTCCCAGTAGAAAAACCCTTTAAAAACTGTGTGCTTTACTTTCACTTCATCTTCCCTGAGCAGAAAGGAAAGCTCCGTATTTAAACACACAGGGAACAAATGGGGATTTAGTAATCAAATAATTTCATTTAGATTTCCAGTTTCATATGGAAAGGCCATTTTTCTTTGCTCATTAGAATTTCCCAGAGCCTGTCAGTACTTTAGACTTTGACATGTTAATCTGAATTCCAGTGGGGTGCGAGTGCTGAACACAGGCAGCACTAATGGTCTTGGCACAGGCTGTGCCGGTTGCTCATGTGCTTGCAGAGGATGCAGAAACAACAGTGGTCATTCAAAGTGTTTGACCATCAGTCCCACATCAAGGACACGAAAAGATCATGCTTGGTAAGGGCAGTTTTTATGTCTGGTTATTGCTATGTGTTTGGGATGCTGAGAACCTCTTTGTAGATCTCCCCTTGATTGTTTTCATTGCGCTGTCATTTAAACCCCTCCTCTAGCAGAACTGGGCCTCTGCTTGGTGCTCCAGTCTCCATCCACCTCAGACTTCTGAACTCCCTTTACCAAATAGATAATCAGGGCCTCATTAGGGCCACTTACTTACTGTGCTGAATGGCCAAGAAACTGTCCTCATCCCTACAACAGGTCCCTCAGCTTTGACTCCACCCCATGCTGAAAAAAAAAGCCAGAAAAAAGAAATTGATTCTTCTGAGTGACTTGGAGGAGCCAAAGGAAATGGGTTCAGCTCTGACCGATGGCAGATACTCGCTGAAAACCCTTCACAATCTGTAAACAGGTATTTTCTGTCTTTGAGAAGTTTATGGGGAATTTGGAAGTCAAAATAACCATTTTCTTATGTAAGTTGCTTGATAAAACAGCTTTGCAGAAGAGTCTTGAGAAACAGGTAATCACTGGGACATTGCAATGTTTTAATCATGTACTGCAGTTAACTTTTCCAGTTAATCTTTACTGCACATAACTGAAGTGAGAAAATCCCTGCTGGCTCATCCTTCACCTAGGGAGGGTTTTGGACAGTGGCAGGAGACCAGCAATGATCTCTGATCCTCAAGTAGGATAGTGATTTGGTCTGTAAAGGCTGTGCAGTGATCTCTCTTCCTAGTACATAACACATGTAAGGACTAGCCTGTTAAGGTATTTCTTGGAATGCTCTTTTGGTTTTTGATTGGAGTGCTTTCTAAGCTAGAAGTTGTATCTATTTAATAGCCCTCAGTGTGATTTCTTTTTTCCTCTGGAATTTGCAATACCCATTTTGAATTAAAGTTCAAAATGAATTAAAGTTTCCTTTGCAGAGCCTGGTTCAACCGAGCTCCAGTTACATGACACCGTTCTCTGTTAGTAATTCCCTGGTGACCTGCCAAAGGAACAAGCGAGAAGCAGTAAATATGGGAGAGGATATTAATGGTACCCTGGCTGTGTTGGGTTTGGTTTGGGTTATTTTTTCCTGTGCCCTAATCACATCTGAATCTTTCAGTTGAATCGCCCATTGACTTTAATTGGAGGTCTGCCGTGGCTGGCTGCTCAAGCAAACTCTTTGCTGTTAAGTCAGATGCTGTTCTTTTGCTTCAAGGTTAAAGTTCAGACAGCTGATGTCTCATTAAGCGAACAGAGGAAACAGCTCATCCAGAGATTCATTAAACTGAGGAGCCAATTACTTGGATGGAAGCAGTGCCAGAGCCGGTCTGTGTCGGTGTCTGATGTGCTGGGGAGACATTGGCTGTGCTCTGCCAGGGATTACACCCAGAAAAGACCACGCAGTCCTTAGTTCAGCAGCAGATTAAACTTCTTTCATTTAGTTTAGCTTCCTTTGTGCTGATATTGGCACCTTCCACCACACCCCAGCTCCTAAACTGCCCAGCGGTAGGAAGAAGGGGGTTCCTGCTGGAGTGGAAGAGTGTCCAGCTGTTGGTGGAGTCCTGATGTCTGTGGATCTTCCCAGGGCACATTGTCCTGGCTGCAGCAAGAAGTCGGTGACCCTGGCTGGGTTTTAGAGTGTGCTTGGCACATCTGGGGGGGGGATCTGCAAAGGGGGACACGTGAGCAGCTCTGTGCTAAGGGAGAGAAGATTAATGTTTAAGTAAGTGGCAAATACCAACCAGCAAAGTATATCACTGATACCATGTGAATGTGGCAAATGAACATGTAAGTGGAGAGAAAGATCGAGGTGGGAAGTGTTTTGCAGAGCTCAACTCTTTTAGGTGAACGTAGACATTACAAAAGCAGGAGGAGACCAGTGGTGAAGCAGTATCGTTCCCATCAGCAATTTTTGTGCAACTTTCCAACCTTAAAAGCTTTTGAGTTCATTAAGGCTGAGTTCAGCTTCCCATATTAAAATGTTCAGCTACTGGGCAACACTTGGTCCCATGCTCTAGGATGAATACCTGATTTTAGCACGGGCGATGCAAGCATTGCATAAATGAAAGCAGATGCGTCCCCAGTTTTGTGCTGGGAGCACAGAGAAATGTCAGTGTTAAACCAGGCTGGGTTTAAATTGTATCTGACACTGATGTGTGATAAATGCCTTGTGGTGTAACTGTGTGTATATTTTTATTCATTTGCAGTAATTCCTCCCATGAATAATCTGGAAAATGATCTCCTGCGCGCCCTGTACAGCTTAGACTGAGATACCCTCACCTGGGAAAGCAGTTAGGGAAATAGCTGCAAATTTATAAGAAAAATAAGATATTGAATAAATATACAAAAATATATTTATATAGAATGAATACATAATATAAAAATAGCTGCCCTTGAATGCTTCCATCCCTGGCAGTGTTCAAGGCCAGGTTGGACAGGGCTTGGAGCAACCTGCTCTAGGGGAAGGTGTCCCTGCCTGTGGCAGAGGGTTGGAGCTGGATGAACTTTAAGGTCCTTTCCAACCCAAACCAGTCTGGGATCTCTTAGTGCCTTTGTTCCCTTTAAATTGTTCCTGAGACTGAGCTTACAGCTGGCACCATCCTTCCTGCCTCAGCCCCTGAGAGATTCTTCCAAAGATAGTGACAATCTCCTTTGAATTGTAAGCGTTTTTCTGGCTCTCTGCAGAATTTTGTGTTCCCAGTTATTTATAAACAGCAAGAACATGGCTGTGGTTTTTCAGAGGTGCATTTATATTTAACTTGATGTTATCTCAGCCCTTCAGCCTTGATGAACAATGAAAATATCAAGTCACTTAAAGCCCCAGATAACTGGAGGGAGTGAGGCATGACTATACCTGTATTGCAGTGCATCTCTAGGCCTTGGTGCACCACAAGTACTGAACAGTGAGCAAAATGCAGGCTCTCTGCTTTGCTTGCACCAGAGAGGGATGTGCAGCAAGCATAGTGCCTGCTGCTTTTGCTCCTGTGCATGCTGCAGTCTGCCATGTCTTACACTATACTCTGGGGGGTTGTTTTCTGTCAAGGTATCAATGTCTCCCTTCTGAAAATCTGGTTTTAATGAAATAGCTTTATTAATAATTGAAATGTGCACAGCCAGAAAGCTGAATTATGTACACACAGAATCATAGAATGGTTTGGGTTGGAAAGCACCTTAAGATCATCCAGTTCTAACCCCCCTGCCATGGGCAGGGGCACCTCACACTAAACCATGTCACCCAAGGCTCTTAAGTGTTCCCTGACAAACAAATACCATATACTTGTTGCAAAGGATGTATATTTGTTAGATTTTAAGTCAAGATTTGATCAAGAAATCTTAATCGAGTCTGTTACACTTTGAATGGCATCTCTTCAATAAGGTAGCTTTATTTCCAGCTGGTGAGTGCATCTGATTTCATAACATTTGAAGAACAGCTAGAGCGCTGTGCGTTGTGGAGGTGGAATCACCTTAAAATCAGGAGCCATTTGCTTGAGGATGTGTTAGATGCTTCAGCACCCTGATCCTGTCATTTCACTCAGTATCCAGGATTTTAATGGGAATAACTGGAATCTTGTTTGTGTTAGGTGTTATCCTAAATGTCCAGGTTGGGATCTACCTGTAGAAACCATCCAAATCAAGATTTTGCTTTTGGGGCATAAACAGCATCTTGTTTGTCTCCTGTATATTTCAAATGATGAAGGCATACACGAGAGACTGTTCATTCCTGTTACTGCAGGTTTAAGCCCTGCATGCTGCACCTATATATTTATGTCCTTGCTGGTTAATCTCCTTTTTGCCATGTTTTATTCCATTCTGTTCTAGGTTGCCCTTGACCACATGAACTAAAACGCGGTGCTGAAGTCCAATATGACACAAGAAGTTGATGCATTTTTTGGGGGTAAGTTGAATCCTGATGAGGTCCCTTTATTAATGATTTACAGACAAAAATACACAGCTGAAAAGAGAGGGAAGTAGGACTGAACTAACCCTGGGATATCTGCAGGCATGTCTGGAAAGCTGGTTTGCATTGCTGACTTTGAGGAGTATGCTGCAAAATTCCTCCCCAAATCAGTGTATGATTATTACCGCTCTGGAGCAGATGACCAAGAAACACTAGCAGATAATGTAGCAGCATTTTCAAGGTAGGAGGAGGATTTGAGGCTGGGGTGGGATGCAGGGGGTGTAAATTCTGCTTTCTCAGTAGATGTGATGCAATATGAGATTTCTGTGTGAACAAAACTCAATTTTTCTGCAACTTCTTTCTTTTTGAGCAAAAAAATACACTTACAGAATTCATTTGGTGAACAATCGTCTCCTCTTCCAGTCCTTCACCTGATATTTTCTGTCCAAAAGCAGTCCCTAAAAACCATTAGCATCTTTTTAGCTTTAGCTGTGTTTTGTTTCACTTGTTAACATCAATTCTCTTTGGATCCAATATTTAATCAGCTGATGAAGCTGTGATTTCTACATTGGGGGCTATAATGCAAAGAAGGGATTCTTATGGTGGGGTTGTACCTTTCAGGTCTGGAGTCAGTTTTGCCTTTTCCTCTTTCTTCCCAACCTGGATTATAGAATCATAGAATACTTAGGGTTGGAAAGGACCTTAAAATCATCAAGTTCCAACCCCCTGCCATGGGCAGGGACACCTCACACTAAACCATGTCACCCAAGGCTCTGTCCAACCTGGCCTTGAACACTGCCAGGGATGGAGCATTCACAGCCTGCCTGGGCAACCCATTCCAGTGCCTCACCACCCTCACAGGAAAGAATTTCCTCCTTATATCCAATCTAAACTTCCCCTGTTTAAGTTTGAACCCGTTACCCCTTGTCCTATCACTACAGTCCCTAATGAAGAGTCCCTCTCCAGCATCCCTATAGGCCCCCTTCAGATACTGGAAGGCTGCTCTGAGGTCTCCAGGCTGAACAGCCCCAACTTTCTCAGCCTGTCTTTACACGGGAGGTGCTCCAGTCCCCTGATCATCCTCATGGCCCTTCTCTGGACTTGTTCCAACAGTTCCATGTCCTTTTTATGGTGAGGACACCAGAACTGCACACAATACTCCAGGTGAGCTCTGATGAGAGCAGGGTAGAGGGGCAGGATCACTTCCTTCGACCTGCTGGTCACGCTCCTTTTGATGCAGCCCAGGATACGGTTGCTTTCTGGGCTGTGAGCGCACACTGAAGCCGGCCCATGTTCATTTTCTCATCAACCAACACCCCCAAGTCTTTCTCTGCAGGGCTGCTCTGAATCTCTTCTCTGCCCAACCTGTAGCTGTGCCTGGGATTTCTGGGATTAGTACACAGTCTCCCCTTCTAAGTGCTTGTGCAGCACTGTGGGATCAGAGCTGCATCCCCTAGCAGACAGGAGCTGCATATCCCAGCTCTGGAGCGAGCCGTGAAAGGCAGGGCTCAGTCCTGGGTGGCCAAACTGTGCTGAGGGGGGAGTCCAGCAGAAGCTCAGCACTTCACCAGGAAATGCTGTAAATGATGGGAATTATGACAAACCAGTTTTCACTTAGACTGAGCCCCTGAACTGTTGTAAAAACCTGGGCTCGGGTCAGCCTTTGTCTCAAGCATAAGGTCAACACAAATTCAGTCAGCATTTGCTGTCAGATTCAGTAGAAGACGGTCAAAGCTCACATTGGTTCCCCATCCTCTTCATCCCCACTACTGCTCAGCCCCCAGAGCATCAGCCTGAGCACTGCAGAGGGAAGAAGGTGGCTGGCGTCTGGTGGCCTCAGCCCAGCTGAGCCCAGTTGAGCTACTTCAACCCATGTTGACTTCTCTTTCCTTCAGTTGCTGTGTTGGTGCCGACATTTAACCCCCTGCATTTGCTTTGCTAATCCCTGAAAGCTTTGTCTTTAATCCCTCTGAGCCTAATAAACCAAAACAGGAGGTTTCTGATTTATCTTTGGTCTTTCTCCATCCCCACTTTGCTTTTCTGCTGCAGAGCAGCAATCCTGTTCACTGCTGGTTGCCTTTCCACAGGCTGTGAGCAATTCAGCTGGAAATGCCTCACCACTTTAGGGCTGTAGAAACTTGGTGGTAATTCATTCAGGTGGATTTCAAAGGTCAGATTCCAGAAACCAGCTTGGAATCTTAATTTTAAGGACACATATAGAAAAGCTTTGTAATGTCAGGCAAAAAAGAAAACTAATCTCCACTGTGACCGCTCATTAGAGACCTCATAGCTCAGTGCAGCAGCTGCCATCATGGAGCGGGAATCCCTCAAGCTGCTCAAAAACACAAGCCAAGAGACTGCTCTGGCTTTGAGGAGTGAGTAGGAGCAGGAAGGGATGTAGTAGTGCTTATCTAATCTTATTTTTTTAGTTTAGTTTTTAATGCTTCCAGATGCTGCTATGATGTTACTTGTCCTCATAAAACCAAAATGAGATGTTAAGGAAAGGATGCTCAAAGGAAGTGCTCTGAAGCAATAAATTACAAGTAGTGAACTTTTTACTACTAACTGCTAGAGCTAATCCTGATTAAGTTGGATCTAAACTGCCCAGAGACAGGCTCTCAACAAGCTGGGTACGTCCACTTGCTGTGTTGGTATTAGCAGAGCTAGATGTTCATGGTGGGATAAGAGCAGCTCTGCTTTGAAGCTGTTTCCCACCACAGGGGCCAGTTCCTCTCATGATACTGACTCATCATACTCTCATGATACTCATGAGACTGCCTTGCATCAGACTGGTCACCTGTGGGGTTCAGGCTTACCTCATCTGGCATCTTCTACCCTGTTTTCAATAGGAGCCTCCAGTTTTAGGCATTCAGAACTGTGGAGCTTGCAGGCAGCCTGGAGATGAAGTAGATATCAATCCGCAGTGCCTTGAGCAGGCTGAGACACTCTAAATTTGCCAGGTCCTGGTGTGACTGAAAGGCCCTTGATGCTGGGTTCCTGCTCCACAGCAGTGAAGGTAGGAGGGGGGTGGGAGCTGTGTTCCTGTCTTTGCTCCCCCTCCTTTTGTGTATTTGTCATAAAGAAAACGAGATCTCATTTCCTCAGGAGCTTTGTGCCATTTAAACATCTTCCAAAAGGCAGTTAATAAAATCTGAAAGACTTGACAATGGGTTTACTCTATTAAATCATCAAAGAACTGAACTTGCTGACAGCTAAAGAGAGAGGTTATGGGGTAGAAATGCTGAAGTCAAAGCTTTGCTTGTTACCTTTCCATTGCTCTACATCCACATCTCACTCTCAGTGCCCACCAAAGCACAGGAAAGCATGGTGATGTGCTGATGGTCACCCAGCAGATCAGTGGGAGCCTGAAGCCCAGCTCCCCTGGTAAAACACATGGTCCCCTTCCTTCTGCAGGGCCTGCACAGCTCTCCCCTTGATGATGGGCATCACAGCTGGAGTCATCTGCTGGGGCTTGCCAGCTTTGATGATAAGAAGTGGAAAGGATGCAGGGCTTCATGGATAAATGGGCTCTTTTATCTGTCTATAGCCAGAGGGAAATGATAGTAAAAGTGGTCAGAGTTTAGAAACAGCCCTTATGTAGCACTCAGAAATGTAAGTTAAATGATTCTCAACGTTTCTAGTACCTTCCTGTACCCATCTGAAGTATTTCCATGAAGCCCTTGTGTGCACTTGCTGCCTGCAGCCGGATGGACCTTCCTCTGCAAAGGTGACCCCCTGTAATGAGCTTGTGAACCTCTTAGGAGGCACGTTGGGCACTGGGCTCCATGGACTGTATGTCAATAGCTACAGTGGTTCCCACTTGTCCCTGCTGAGGCACAACATGGCATGGTGGCTTCCTGGTTTCTGAGCATTGGATGCTGCCAGTAACGGTTCATTAGAGCGTGGTTGCAATGGCTTCCTGGCAGCACATCTAGAAAAGGTGGAGCCCTGGTATGAAGCCTTTATAGTGTTTTGGTTTATAACCAAAAAATATACATATAATATATATATTATATATAATGTATATATAATACATATAAAATATGTAATATATATAATGTATATATAATAGATATATTACAGAGACCTGCTTGACAAAAGCAACTTCTGCAATCTTTTGTTCTTTGATGCTGTTGGGAGAAGCCCAGCCTGACTGTGAGGGATGCAGGACTGCTGCTCGCTCTGACTCTCACGTAGTCCCTCTGCAAGTTACTGGTTTTCTTCCCTGTTCCTGAGCACGACCTGTGGGTAAATAGAAAGTAAGATGGACTTTACACCCCAAGCCACAGAGATCACAAAGTCAGATGACTCTGTCACAGAAACAAATAAGTTCAGCTTCATTTCCCATTGATTTCCACTGCCAGAAGCCAAGCTGCAGCCTGATTGAAAGCATTTACAGTTTATTTAAGTATTTGCAGATATATGTGTAAATGTTTGTGTTTACATAGGAAAGAAAGCACCAAGTGATCAGGAGCATGAATTGTTAGCCTGTACCTTTTTGGTATGGGCTGTGTTCACCCAAGATGATTTGAGTGAACAAGACTGCTGGGATGGATTGTATTTGGGGGGCAAATCAGTGTTGGGTTTGTATATGAGCTGTTTATATTTTTGGCAACTGAATGGTTGTATTCATAGAGAAATAGATTATTATTAGGAACTAATCTAGCAAATGAATGGTTGTGTTGATGGATGCTGTAATATTTCTTGCCAGTGCAGCTTTTGGAGCAGTGCAATTTGTTTTCATTAGAGATGTCCCTGCCCGCGGCAGGGGGGTTGTAACTGGATGATCTTAAGCTCCTTTCCAACCCAAACCATTCTGTGATTCTATTAACTGAATATCCTGGCATTTGTCAGCACAGGAGCTCAAAGCACTTTGAACCTGTAATCAGACTCCAGAGTATGAAATGGCTCCAAAAGGCCAGTGTTTAAGATGAGGTTAACACCAGGTACAGTAATTCTCCCCCAGCTTCCAGTTCTTCTGGGACTGAGGAAAGAGCTGGAGCTCACATATTAACATTGGTGTGCTCCTGCTAAGGCCAGAAAATCATCTTTTACTCATATTGGAGATGGTGCTGGCATAAGTGAGGCACTAAGACAAGAAAAGATGATCTGGGATGTCGGAGCACACATTACTCTCTATGGCATCTGACTGCATTCACCTTGCATTTGCTCTGCATCCCAAACCACTATGTGTCCTTCCAGCCCCATGCTGTCTGGCAGTTACTTTTCACTCTCAAGTTGTCAAGGAAGCGAGGGGCTTGAATGGAGAACAGATTTAATGACAAGGTCAGGATGCCTTTAGCTTGATGGCACTGAAGGAATCAATCTGAAATCTCCCCTCAGCATGTTAATGCAGGTGGATGTCTGTGTGTGTAGGAACATGTTCCTGCTAATCCACCTTGACATGTACTGCCTCCCCGGTGGCCTTTGGAGAAGATCTGTTTTGTTGTCATGGTCTTCAGTGACAGCACCGGTGCGTGTCCTCTGCAAACACATCGTGTTCTAGCTCGGTGTTAAGGGTGTTCCAATGACTGGGCACATAAATAATTGAAATATTGGCTAAAAAAGGAAGGCTGTGAATGCGATTGGGGTCAAACATGCGCATGAAGTTGTAGGGGGGAAGAAAAGAAAAGGAATGCTTGTGATAATAAGTTAGATTGCCGCAATGTCTTTCACCTTGGACAAAAAGAGTCGCTGTGTGGATGGCAAGAGAGTTTTCAGGGAGAGAAAATTGATCTTCCTCAGGCAAAAGGAGGTGTTGGTTACCATGGCACAGTGCTGGGGGCATCTGCCCCTTGCCGCACGGGAAGGCAGCAAAGTGGGTTGGAGTTGGGATGGAGACTGCATCCTCTCCCAGGCACACTGCTCGTGATGCGGCAGGAAGGGATGGCTTGGTAGGGGCTCAGAAAGAAACAAGAAGAGCTGCTTGGAAAAGGGGTGTGGTTTGAAAATGTCATTTTTCACAGCTGAAAGGCATTTGGGCAAGCAGTGAGTGCTTCCCTCTCACCCAATTGTAGATAACCTCAGTCAGAAGTCAATCTGATTTCTTTGAGCATGGAGGGGGGAAAAAACCACCCCAAGACACTAATCCCTCCCATTCCCTTTCATCCTGCTTCTAAAACAGCATTTAGCTGAGGTTGCCTAAATCAGGGGTGCTCACTGCCTTCCCCATGCTGTGGCATCGCCCTGCTTCCACCTGGGAAGAAAGGTGCATCCACTTGAGATAGCTGATTGCAGCACCTGAGTGTGAACCAGGCTGGATAAAAAAGGGGGTGATGAGATGAGGATGACTACAAAAATGCAGGTTTGTTATGGGATACCCAGGGAACATTTTCACTCACAGGCTCAATTGTGTTTGGCAGCAGAACGAACGGTGCTCTGGTTACTTGGGAATACAGCCCTCAGGGTTTGCTTGTGGCTGTTAAGGGCCTTTCCCTAGGGAGTGTCCAGAAAATGCCTCACGTGTCCATTAAACTCACAGCTGCAGACACCCCTGTTCCCAAAGCAAGGTCAGGTTTTCATTCAAGAGTATAATACTGAGGTGGTATTTTCGTGAGACCTAGTAAATACTCAGTTACAAGTATCGCTTGATGTTGGTCAAGAGGATGCAACCTGATAAGGTGCAAGGGGAAGAGAAGCCACAGAAGACATTGGAAGAGACATTTACATTAAACATTTGAGGCTCATGTGCCTGAGGACCCCAAAAAGCTCCTAGATGGAGTAATTTGATGGCACATAATGGTGAGTGGGAAGGATGCTGCTTGAAACAGCATCATTTTTCTTGCACACTCTATTGGGAGGATTTTTGTTCCTTGTGTTGCCTTTCCCAGCTAAAAGATGCCTTGGAGCTGAGAGAAAGCCTTTGGAATGAGAACTAGGAAGAAAGGGGGGAGGAAAAAGTCATATTTTCTTAGTCCCACCCTCCCCTGCGAAACAACAAGCCCATACAATAGCATGAAAACAAGCCTGAGGAGGCATACTTGCAGTGTGTGTCTTGGCATTGAATGATACAGCTGACTCCCACAGACACACATCTCCTTCCAAGCATCATAACTATCTGCCTCTTCCCTGGGGAGTGCTTCCTGGAGAGCTGGCATGGCCCTGTGCTCTTGGGTCTCATCCTGGCTCTGCCCCAGGCTTCTTGTGGAAACATCTCTTGATCTTTCTATGAAATGAAGAGATTCTGCCTTGTCTTCTTCTCCTTTCCAGCTTATCAGTTTGCTATGTGAGCGTGAGCTGACCACCGCTCGCTTTTGGAGCAGTCTGAGGGTAACGGTGCTTCTGGTTGCTGTATCTATCCTAATAGTAATGTCAGTCTAGTGCTGAGCAGGTAGAGGTTCAGCAGTACTGGAGCTTAAGTTTTTGGTTACTTTCTGTAATGAAGATTCAATGGCCATCAGATTGCTTCCAAAGGGAGAGATTCCTTTGTGAGAGATGGATGTGCACCCTGCTACTGCCTGTACGGTGTTTGGCCTGGTGCACTGCACGCCCCTGTGCAGAGGCAACCCCTGCTATTGCACACCCTCTTGTGGCTTGTAGCAACAGTGGCTTGGATGTACAGCATCACCTGGATGGGGAGAAGAAGATGCAGTTTTACAGGGATCCCCAAGGCAACCCTATTAATAAAGGGTTGGATATTGCAATATCATCTAATTGAGCCCATAAGAGAGATTTCGATCCTCTTGTAGTGATGTTGTGTGGGGTCAAAGAAGGGATAAATTTCTGTGTATGCAAGCACGCGATGTCCAGCCGGACTGCAATAAATCGTATTTAAGTGTGGGTTTGTTTTGGTGTCAGCTTCTGTTTGTACCCAGGTTGAAGACCCCAGGGGAGAATCAAGCCCAGCTCTGGGCTCATGTGGTTTCTGGTGGGACACGCTGAAGGCAAAGCATGGTTGGGAAGGGTTGAGCCAATGCTGGGCCACATCATTCAAGGGCTAGATTGTAATTTGCGCTGTTGGGAAAGCAGTTGTGCTGCTTGGTCTATTCCTGCACCAAATTACAGTGCCCACATTTGGTCTTTTCCTGGAAGTCTGGAGTCCCTGCGGCACGTCCCAGGGATTATGTCCATAGTGGCTGGGGACTGCTGGGGACAGGACCTCTCCAAGCAAAGCAGCTCGGTGTCTGTGCCAGCAGAGATGTGGTGCCGTGGATTTCCACACCCCCTGAGCTGGGGGAAGTCAGGGCAGCCACCCTGGCCACCAGTGTCCCATGTGGCAGCTTGTTTCTGAGTAGTCTCACTACTGAGACTCATAGCACGGGGACAGGGAGGGCTAAGTGTGCTGGCCAGGCTGGTTTTATACCTAAATCCTGTGTCTTTTGGCTCCCTAGTCCATAGAAGGAATAATTGAGGGAGGCTGGTGACTTCTGTTTCTGCACACCCTCTGCCATACAGATCTGCCCTGAGGCTTTTGAGGAGGCTGAGACTTACCATGAACCTGAATATTTTGCAGCTCCTGTCTTGTCTTTCAAATGATACCAGCCAATAGTGTTCAAAGGCTCTTCATGGCCATGGCTTTCACCCTCCATGGGCTTTCATCCCTCCTGCTTTGTGTATTCTGTGGGTCCTGCTGCAGCTCTGGGTCACTCAATGAAGTTCTGCTCTAGCACTATCACAGCTTTCACCATCTTCCTCCTGACAGCAGGAAACATCTGCTCTAGCCCATTAGGAACTGTACATAACCCCAGTGATGCTTTTTATCCTCCTCTATTGTGTCAGGTGGAAGCTGTACCCCCGTGTGCTCAGGGACGTGTCAGTGATGGACCTGTCCACCTCGGTGCTGGGGCAGAGGATCAGCATGCCAGTCTGTGTCGGAGCCACCGCTATGCAGCGCATGGCTCATGCTGATGGAGAGACAGCAACTGCTAAAGGTGAGCAAAGGCAAAGCCCCCTGCACCAAGGCAGAGATGAGCAGAGTGATGCTGGGCTGCTGGCTGTGAAGCCTGGTTGGGTTTCTTGATGCTGTGGCCAGGATGGGTTTGAGCTGCTGCTCAGAGTAATCTGTTGATTTTTGGTTGTTTCTTTCCATTGACTGTTTTGTGTGGAGGCTCTCTTTCATTATGGAACAGAGAGGAGAAATGCAGTGTGTAAGAAGGGAATCATTTGTAACATAGAAAATTGAAAGCTGCATCTATCTACCTATCTTTCTCTACATTCTATGAATATAACTCTATATATTGTCACAGCAACATCCTTCTTGTTGCAGCACTGATTCTAGAAATTGCTTATCTGGGAAATACACTTCATAGAATCCCAGAATGGTTTGTGTTGGAAGGGACCTTAAAGTTCATCCAGTTCCAATGCCTGCCACAGGCAGGGACACCTTCCACTAGAGCAGCTTGCTCCAAGCCCCGTCCAACCTGGCCTTGAGCACTGCCAGGGATGGAGCAGCCACAGCTTCTCTGGGCCAGTGCCTCACCACTCTCATAGTGAAGAACTTCTGCCTAATGTCTAATCTGAGCCTTGTTTTAATCTAAGTCCTTGTTTTGAAAAGAGCTCTTTGAGAGCATCCTGGAGAACCAGTGAGATAAGGGCCTCTGAGGGCTAGATGCTGCAGAAAGGTGTTGCCTAAAAGGCTGCAAGAAATGGGCCGATAACCACAATTCAGATGTGAAACTGCTTCCTGCTCCTTTAACCAGATGCAGAATGACACGAAGCATAAGGAAGAGGCCACAGGGTATGCCTGTTGCATGGGAACAGCACGGTGCTGTGCATGTCAGTGCTCTAGCGCTGAATGAGAAGGGGTGTAAAGCCTAAATGAGCAATATTAAAAGCAGTTAATAAATCCTGTGCGTGGCTGAGCTGTTCCTCTGACAGCGTTTCCACGAGCAATGCAGCAAATGATGGTGTGAAGAAAGTCTCATTACCTGCCCTGCAGTGGGAGCTGTTCCCAATAGCCATTCAAAAGCCCCATGCACCGTGATGGGCAGCACAACTCCAGCAGCAATCTCTGTAAAAGCACAATTCTCCCTTCTCATAGTATGTTTGGACACGTTTTTTCCCTCTTCCCAAGAGGTTCATTAGGAAGCCCAAGATATTTTCCCTGTTGTATGTGCCGCCGTGTTCCACACGATGGAGCTCGAATACCTTGAATTGGTTTGTGAAGTGGCATCTGGTGGCGCTTTGGCTGTTCTTGTGCGTGATTTCTGGCCCAGGTTATGCTGGGAGGGAACTCTGAAGCATTCTACTGTTCAGTACGAACGTCTTCATGCAATGTTAAGAGTCAGATTTGAAACGCACAAATTCCAGGATGTTCCTTAGCAAAACTTCTCACCAATGGCACAGCCCAGCCACGTTTTAAGGCATAAATCCACAATGACGTATGAAGTCAAGTGGTACGATGAGGCTGACTACGGGGCTGAGTTATGTGGTAGATAAGTTTGGAACTTCCTGGCTTTTGTGCACTTATATTTTCATATTTTAAGGTAGGATTATTTCATTTAATGTGTTTGGGGTTTCCAGCTGGGAGAGCTTGGTGAACCGGCAATGGTTTGAATGAAGCATCGAATAAATTGTCTATTGGAGCTGGTAAACTTTTCTTTGCTTTCAGAGTTGACAGTAATTCAAGTCACAGCTTCTGCATTGCAGCAGTGCTTCTTGTAGCAAAAACATGCTTCAGTTTTGTGCTCTGTTAGAGGTGGAGTGGGGTGTTCAGTGCCAAGCGTTTGGTTTGACCTTCTAAGATGACAGGGATTAGCCATAAATTACACATTTGGCTGAAAGGTTCCCTTAAACTTGGGACATTTGGGATCAGGGGGTTTGAAACATCCAACTTGTCTTAAACTGTGATACTGCTGAAATATAAGCGAGCAGTTTGTTGGTTGCTTTGTGATTTACACAAGCTGGAAGTCTGATCCATAGCCTTGTGGCTTTTGCAAAACCCAGTGTACTTCATAAGCTTGGCTCTTAGCTCAGGTGTGTAGGAAGCGACATATGGTGGTGCCTCTGCTGTTATGATAATCCTGGAAAAGGATCCACGTTTCATAGAATCATAGAATGGTTTGGGTTGGAAGGGCCTGTAAAGCTCATCCAGTCCCAACCCTCTTCCTCTTTGTATTGTGAGACTGACTCCTGGTCCTGCCAAGGAATTCCCTTCAGTAACAGAGTTTTGCTTTAAACTCTCTGCTCTTCCAGCAGCTTTGCCCACATGTGGCAGCACAAATGTTCTCTCTAGGGACAAGAGCATCTTATGGAGTCTCTCATTAGGTAGAAGTCCCAGTCCCCACTTTGGGGCAAGGAGTTTTGGCAGCTCACTCCAGCTGGGGGGAGCTGCTCCTCCTCAAGGGATGCTCTCCCGCAGTGACCAAGCTGGTAGAGAGGGATGTGCATCTTACCAAAACAGGGCAAAGTGTGGCAGCTCCCCTTAAACACACCTTCATTGACAATTCTGTTTCATTAGTAAAGGACCTTTTTTGGGGTAAAACTGTTCAATTGTAAGTTTAAAAGCGCTGGTGACAAGCCATCTAACACAGCACAACTCATTCCAAAGGTTATCTAACTCCACTCTGAGCAGAATAAGCTGTAGCCCTGGTCAGAACATGCACAGCTTCAAATCCAGATGTTGGATTTAGTTATACTTCTGTTTGCTACATATAAAATAGCAAAAAGAAAAGCTATTGTCCATATAGGCTGTAATGAGGTTGCTCCTCAGTTCCCTTTGATGTATACAAGTGGAACAGGAGACCCCATGGAGGAAGCTCTCTTGTCCTTGACACGATTTCATGGCCCTTGGCGGTTGTCCCACTTTTCCCAGCTCTGTCTTCAAGGACATTCCCAAGCATTTTAGTTATAATTCATCACTTTATATTGCAATTTCCCAAAGAATGGATTTTCTGTTCAGTAGAAACTGAAAAATTGGGAGGAAAATTGTTTTGGATTCACTGAAATGTTTAATATGATCCCAAACACAAAGGTTTATTTCATTTTCCTATTAATGCTTTTCACCATAGCTCTGTTTTGAGACAAAAATGTTAGCTCAGCAGAAAACATTTCCATGTTGAAAATATCCACACATGACATTTTGACTTAGGTGAATTTTTGTTGTCCTTCCCACTCCAATTTCGACCTCCTTAACTAAAAATATTCGCCAAATTTGATGAATAATCTGAGCCACCATTAAAGAGCAAAGGGCTGCTCCCTAAACACTTTGCAACAGGGCTCTTCTGATTCTACACGAGTTAGTTTTTTCTTGCTTGTCCATCAAAAGATTCACTATTCATTTGCCATCCCAACTTCATTCTGTGTGATCCCTGTGTTGTCTCAGAATCGTAGAATCACAGAACAGTTTGGGTTGGAAGGGACCTTCAAAGCTCATCTGGTCCAACCCTCCTGCAATGAGCAGGGATATCTCCAACTAGATCAGGTTGTCCAGAACCACATCCAGCCTGGCCTTGAATGTCCCCAGGGATGGGGTATCCACCACCTCTCTGGGCAACCTGTGCCAGTGTTTTACCACCCTCATTGTAAAGAATTTCTTCCTCACACCCAGCCTGGATCTCCCCTCTTTTAGTTTAAAACCATCACCCCTTGTCCTAGAACAGGCCCTGATACAAAGTTTCTCCCCATCTTTCTTATAGGCCCCTCTTAAGAACTGAAAGGCTGCAATAAGGTCTCCCTGGAGTCTTCTGTTCAGGCAGCACTGCCTGCAAGTGTTTCTGTAAATAGGACCTGCTTTCAGGAACACCAAAGCAGAATCTCTTGTACCAGCTGCTCAGCAAGAAATAGCAACTTTCTGAAGCCTTAATCAGTGATAAGCAGATTTGTAGCCCTTTCTTACTGAGATTTCTATTCTGATTATGCTGCTGCTCATTACACACTGCTATCTCACTGACCCATCACCTCATGTTCTTGTGGTTTAGCCCAGAAGCAGTATTGCAATACCCGACTTCTGTGACTTGCTGAAGGTCAGGTGGAACAACCTGACTGCTTTCTTGGCCTGAGCTTTTGAAAGCTTTGACTGGGGGTTGCTCAGATGTGACATTTTGATGTTTACCACTCTGCAGTTGCTCCTAGATAACTTTCTGAGTTCCTGCTGATGCAAGAAGGGTTTCACCATCACCTCCAATGTGACGGCACCATTTGCTTTGCCAAATGGAGAACAGGAACATTGACTGAAAAGCTTTTTAGTTGAGTTACTGGCAGCTTTATTTCCACTAGAAAGGAACACCTTTGTTCTTTTGGCTCTTAACAGACTTATAATGTGCTTCTTGTTTGCTCTGATGCTGTTGAGCAATGAGCAGTTTCCTTGTGCTCATTGCACATGCCTGAGACTACGAAGGAGGGATTTTGCAATCTGCTGCTATTGGTGCTCAGCCACAGTGAAAATAGCAGGACTTTGTACCCATGTTTCATAGAATCCCAGACTGGTTTAGGTTGGAAGGGACCTAAAAGTTCACCCAGTTCAACCCTCTGCCATGGGCAGGGACACTCCACTAGAGCAGGTTGCTTCGAGCCCCTGTGTCCAATCTGGCCTTGAACACTGCCAGGGATGGGGCAGCCACAGCTTCTCTGGGCACCCCGTGCCAGCACCTCAGCACCCTCATAGTGAATAACTTCTTCCTAATGTCTATTCTCTGTCTCTCCTCTGTTAGGTTAAAGCCATTCCCCCTTGTCCTGATTTCTTGTAAGCCCTTCTCCAGAGTTCTTGTCAGCCCCTTTACATATTGGAAGGCTGTTCACCTTATGTATTGGAAGGTGTCCCCTTAAGGAGCCTTTTCCTCTCCAGGCTGAATAAGCCCAGCTCTCTCAGCCTGTCCTCACAGGAGAGTTTCACTGCTACCCATGTGCTGTTCCCCAGAAATGTTAATTTTAAGGTATGGCTACTTGAGAGTCCTTGAGGGGACAATGTTCACGTGGGACAAAATAGCCTGGAGTGACCTGGCCCTAACTCCCCCCAGAGACCATCATGGCCAGGGGACTTTCTGATGCAAGTGTACACAGGCAGTCTGGCCCAACAGCCCTCCTCAGACCAGCCAGATCCATCCTGGCCACGTGTATCTTTCCTGCTGCCTCCAGCCTTCCCGCACAGCTGACACAATGCCTTGTGTCAACACAAGGATCATAGGCACAACTCACACGCAGTGTTTTGTAAGGGGTGAGTGAGGAAAGGCCAGGCAGGGGATTTCTCAGCCAAGCGTGGTTCGTCAAGAGAGAAATGTTGAGTACTTTAAACAAGTCTGTTTCTTAGGAGATGCAGCTCCAAGAACGTAGCTACTAGCTTGAGAAATACCACCGTACCAAAAGGACATCACTCTGGTTCCAAGTAATGTCCTCTGACCCCTAACCTGGGGGCAGTGGATTCACTGATGGATTCAGGAAGAATGACCACAGTGGGACAGTCAGGCTGCATGCTTCTGAGATGTCCCTTAAAGGGAAATGATGGGAATTTGCACACTTAGAGAAAAATAGGAAGTTCCCCTTCCCATACAAGGTAACCTGGATAAATATGCAAGACGTGGGCTCTTCTCCAGTGGTCTCCCATGAAATATGTTGCTGCTGGGTTGCCCACAGGGACAAACTCTATACCTTCCTAAACCAGTTAGCGAAGTGATGTCCTATCAGATTAGACTGAGGTTTCAGGATGAAAAAGGGGCTAAAAAAGATTATCACTCTGTTCTCCTGTGGATTCCCAAGCAGGTCCTGTCCCATGATCTGCTTGATTTGTTGCTATGTAAGATACTTCATCTGAGCTCTCTAAGAACGAGGAAAGCCCCATCCTATTGAGGTCTGTGTTCCATGGTGAGAAGGTATGACCTTGCTCGTGGCTTCCCTGGGCTAAGTGGAAGGAGGTACCAGTGGGGCTGAGAAACTTCCTTTACACATGGAACAAAGGCTGTGAAGCTTCCCCTTGCTGGGAACCCCAATTCTAGCTGCATCTGGCCCTGAAACAAGGTGGAGAACAAAGAGCTCAAAGCTTTATCATCCTGACATGGAAAAGTTCCCCAGCCTCTTGTATGTGGCTACTGCCATGGCCTCTGCACTATCACTGACCTCAGTGAGAGCCTGAGGTGTGCGCAAAGGCAAATGTATGCTTTGGGCAATGCTTTGGGTTAAAAGACCGACCGCGGAGGGGGGAAGGAAAAAAAGGACTAAAAGCAATCTGAAATGGCATGAGGAAAGGCTGGTTTACAAAAATCCAATGTTTAAACTCTGGCAAATGTCACACATTGCTGCAAGAGCATCCTGTGGGAATACGGATCTAGTAGTACTGATTTACAATAATAAACAGAGGTATTTGCAGCACCCCAAACTTGAAGTGTAAAATATGGTTGCTGGAGGAAATGAATTGCTTCTGTTTTCTTCCACTGCACCTAATATGCAAGAAGTGGAGGATATTTTTAGCAAAACCTGGTTTGAAGTAGGAAGACAAAATAGAACCTGGCAACGCTTCAGGCCGATGTATCAAGTGTTTGAAAACCTAGAAAACTGTCAAAATAAGCTTTGAAATGATCAAGATGAAGCACAGATCAACCAAACCTGGAATCTCTAAAGCTTGGAAAGCTTCTGTGTGTGTGAACTTTGCATTTGACCACATGGATCCAAGCTACACGTGTTGAGCTGGCGCTGGACCAGATTGATAACTACAGGGCAGGGGAATGCTGTGAGTGTGCCTTCGTGACGGTGCCATAACCCAGTCTGGGATGCTTGAACTCTGATTGAACCAAACCACTTAAATCTAATCTTAAATGAGATGAAAGCATTATTTTTCCATTGCTACGTATGCAGTTGAAAGAGTACGGTGCTCTACTGTGTTTTAAACCTTTTGTTCACCCAGTAGATTTTACTGTGTAGTTCCTATTCTGATTTTTGCTGCTTGTGTCCATAGGGCTATTGAGGTTGAGGATAAAAGGAAGAATAGAAATAAATGGCTACCCAAAGGCAGATTGAACCATAACATTTCCCCCTTATCTGATCTAAGGGGTTTGCAATTGCTGGGTTAGCAACTCTGTCTCTCATTCATGAACTTGTATTTGACAGAGCAACAGGAATGCGGATCCCTTGTTTCTTAGCATCACTTGATGGACTGGATTTAGCAAATGACTTCAGGATTTGCAATAACCCACCACAGCTGATTTTAACAAGACTTTAGAATCACAGAATCAAGTAGGTTGGAAAAGACCTTTAAGATTATCAAGTCCAACTGTTCCCCAGCACTGCCAAGGCCACCACTAGCCCATGGCACTGAGGCCTCGTCTCCATGGTGTGTGAACACTTGCAGGGACGGTGACTGCAGTCCTGCCCTGGGCAGCCTGTGCCAATGCCTGAGCACCCTCTGGGGAAGGAATTGTTCCTCAGCTCCATCTAAACCTGCCCTGGTGCAGCTTGTCCTATTACTTGTTACTTGGGAGAAGAGACTAGCCACCTCCTGGCTCCATCTTCCTTTCAGGTAGCTGTAGAGAGAAGGGCATTCAGTCAGCATGGGTTATTCAGCAGCAGCTCATTTCTGTGGACTTAATCTGGGAGAGGGAACTATTTTCAGTAATTTTAAGGGAAGGAATGAAAAGGCTGCAATGCAGAGTTTTGGGTCATTGCTTCTGTATTTGCAGTGATTGAAAGCTGCCTGGTGGCCCTGGGAGGGTGTAACCAATTTGTTTGAATAAGCTGTTCATAAGTTTCCACTCTAAGAGACTTGTAATCCTTATTTAATAAAATGTTGTCATAAAGACCACTTTTTAATTCCTCGATGGGCTGGAGATGACGTTTAGAAACAGAGCTCCATTTACATTACAAATATGCATACTGCGGTAGACCAAGAAAAATACGGCTTTCTATGATATTTTTGAGTTTTACAGTGTGTTTTCCTTTATTTTACATTAAGTGACAGATTACTCCAAGAAGAATAAGTAATAGATTCATAACGATATGGCTGTATGAGGTTAGCTGGTTTGCGGTGCAGCCTGGGCTGGAAATCACCTCCAGGGATGTGGCCAGCACAGAGCCTCTGGCTGCTTGACCCCCTCTGGGATTGTTCAGTGACATTTAACCATGGGGCTGGCTGCCCATGTCTTGGGAGTGATTCCATTCCACAGCCTTTCGAAGGTAAAGGAGAGGCCAAAACACACTGGGCATGAGCAGCCATTGCTTTGGCTTCATTGGAGACTTCAGAGACCACTTTTCTATTGTACGTACTCATCTCTCTGCTTACTTTTGGGGTATTCTGGATGGAGACTGTCACTTGGGGTGTGTTTACCCCACTCCTGTGAGATAAGAACTTCTCCTTTTTATCAGCAGAAGTGTTAACTTTGTGTATGGGATCCCACAGTGGATGTGGGTTCCTCTCCTTCAGGCCATGAGACAGAGCAAAAGTGTTCAAGCAAAGAACAGTGGAGCTTCACCCTCAAGTCTTTAAATAAGGTTGTCTGTTGGACTGTGTCCTCCTGTTTTATTAAGCCCTGAAACTCCCTATAGGGATGAAAACAGGCATTTACTAGAACAGCACTTCAAGAAACATAGGTTTAATGCTAGTAAACATTTTGGGGGTGGGACAAAGCAGCCAAAATGTGGTGATCAGAATGCTTCAGGAGGGTGTGTATGTGATGGTGGTGAGGAGCACTGAAGAGCAATGTTGAGAATGACAGATCCAAAACACCAATCAGCAGCAACGTGGCAGTGCTGAGAAAGCTGGAAGCTTTAATTCCATATATTTTTTTATTTCTTTAGATCATTTAAAACTGTGCATGTAGGTCCTTAAACTTACATGCCAAAATGCCTGACAAACAGTAGCCAGATACTCGGGGCTTACAAACAGGCTCCCCTTAGGATAAAGAATCATTAATATAGGTTAGGCTTAGTTTGATTATAATATCTCTTATTTCCAGCATTGAAGTAGGCATCATCCCACTGTGCAGATGGCAGTCACTAGGAATTTGCCTTTAAACATAGAGAATAAAACAGAGAAGGCTCACAGCAGCCCGCCGCTGTTAGTAACTGCTATCAGTGCAGTTACTAACAGTCCCCCCTGCAAGGCTGGAAGCACATTAACACTGAGGAAGGCAGTGTGAGATCACAAACACTGAGATGCTCTGATGAGCCAAGTACTCCTGCTTAGAGAAGCTTGAATAATCTCAAATGTAACCTTGTATTCCTTCTTCCAGCTTGCCAAGCCATGGGGACAGGGATGATGCTGAGCTCCTGGGCCACCTCTTCCATTGAAGAAGTGGCTGAAGCAGCTCCATCCGGCCTTCGCTGGCTGCAGCTCTATGTGTACAAGGACCGGGAGGTTACCAAATCCCTTGTGAAGCGTGCGGAGCGAGCAGGATACAAAGGGATCTTCGTGACGGTGGACACGCCGTTCCTCGGCAGGCGCTTCGATGACGTGCGCAACAAGTTCCAGCTCCCTCCCCACCTCAGGTAAATGTTCACTGGTGAGATGTGGGAGATGGGCATGTGGTTCAGGTTAGAAAGGTCTCAAAGCTCATCCAGTTCCAAACCCCTGCCATGGGCAGGGACACTTTCCGCTAGAGCAGGTTGATCCAAGCCCCATCCAACCTGGTCTCGAGCACTGCCAGGGATGGGGCAGCCACAGCTCCTCTATGCTCAAGTGCTGGCACAGTGTTAGCAGCCACAGGCTGGCTGGAAAAGTATGGAGTGGATGGGATATCCAGGACTTGGGTTTACAATATAGAGCTAAAAGTCTTGTGAGTATCTTGCAAGTAAGTCTTGGTAGTGACCGCAGTCAGCCTCAGCATGTATTGAGAGTGCTGTGTTTGCCTTATTCAGAGCCTGAGAATGAATACAAGAATGGAAGGAAAAAGCCCCAAAGGATAACTGAACATATTTTGAAACAGATTAACTTTGATTTGAGTCCAGGTTTTGAATATTATAAATGGATCTGAAATGCTCTTCCTATGTCTCCTAAGACTGTCATGCTATACTATATACTTACTATACATACCGTGTAGAGCAAGAAATATAATACCACATCCTGAGGTCTGTCTTCTTTTTCATAATATTTAAATGGAAGGTAACCATGGGACTCTGCAATCAATCTGATTCTTCACCTCACAGGCAAGAAAACCTCCAGAGCCTTGGGGTGTTGGATCTGCCAGTATGCTGGGACTTGAAGCATAGATGGTATGATGAAATTTGACAGAGCAAGCTTATCTCTGTCTATGATTTCTGTGTTTAAGTATAGTCTTATGAGGAAAGCATCATAAAACAAAATATCCCTCATACATCTAATGTTAAAATGTAGCATGCTGGTATGTGTATGCCCCATGTAGTAATTCTGCTATAGATCTGTGATCGACAAAACACTGTCGATAACACTGTCATTTCACCTAAAAAAGTCTTCTTTTAGGGGCAGCACCGTTTTAATGTGTGAGGTTAAAGAGATTTTGAATGCGAGTCAACCCAGAAATGTTTAAGTAATAGAGCATTTCTGAACCCCTTTGACCCAACCTGACCAAACCCTAACAAGGTTTTGTTTGAGTGAACCACATTAAATCACACAAAGTTGGAGTAACCTTTGAAGGTTCTAATGAATCCCTTCAGGTTTCAGAGTGACGCTTGGGCAGTGTTTTGTTGCCGAGCCGGCGGTGGAACTCTCCTCCGCTCAGTTATGTGATAACTTTTTCTTGGCTTCAGGTTTTCAACAAAGTTCTCAAAGCAACAACAAGGTGCCATTGTGCTCGGAAACGTATGTAAGGCAACATTCATCCAAGTGTTGATCTGCATTTCACAGGCCAAGAAAAACAACAGTTATTTATATAATCTTATCCACGGTTCTGTTTTCCTCTGGGCACCCCACCTTCCACAAACCAACAGCTGAAAAGCTGGATCTTGCTGAGAGCCCTTTCTCATTTTCTTCTGGGCCTGGAGCTGAACAGAAAAGCTTGTTGCAGGCATGAAATCAGCACTGAAACCAGCCAGTTTCCAGGCACAAACCCCAGCACATGTCCCAGAATGTGGAATATGAGCATAAAACAGCACAATGTGGAACAAGAGAGTTTCCAAAGAACAGAGCGGTCAGCCTCGTGTGGGACATGGGTGTCCTTGGTACTACTGGTGTTGCTCATGGTGGTTTAATGCTTGTGAGCACTTGGAGCTGCTTCAGCTTTCTAATACAAGCACTGCCTGAATTACTTTATTTACCCTCCTTTTCCTGCTTTGTGTAGCAAGTCTGTGAAGTCTTTGGTGCAGGGGCTGTCCCTTACCATTCGTTTCTAGAACCTGTGAGATTGATTTGGTGCTAAAAAGCAAATAATAGCTAATGTTTTCATATGAACTTAATTTCCACCCCTCCTACATTCTACAAGGAAACATGCAAAAAAGAAAACATGAGAGGAACTGGCTGGATGCTGTCAGAGATGAAAATTCAGAATTCTTTGCAAAGCTTCATTCTGATCCACCTAATTCATGGAGCTTAACAAAATTTCCCTCCCTCCTTCTCCTTTCCACCTACCCAATCCCTTATTCCTCCAGCAGCTGAAACCCCTGGATTTGGGGGGTAAAAAAGCAAAACCCAAAACAAACCCAACTTTTCTGCACGACAGCAAAGGGGATTTTTGCTGGTGAGTACAGCTGAACCTCTACTTTTCAGTGGGTCCTGGGTTGTGGCAAGCAAGATTGATGTTATCTTCTTAAATCCAGCCTGTACTGCTTTAGGGTCTGAATGTCCCACAACCTCTGGTGCATTTCTCCTGGCAGACACTGTTGTTCCTGTTTTATGACAGGGGACTGAGGCAAAAGGAGTGGCAAAGTGTCATGCTCAAAAGTCGCATGGGAGGACAGAACCTTGAGCCCACATTAGTGCTCTTACTGTTGACTTTTCCTCCTGGTTGTGGATTTGATGCTGAACCTTTAGATTTTGGACTTCATCCCGTTTCTTTTGGAAGCACCAGGACAGTTGCCTTGGGCTGGAGAGAGCTGTACCAATGGTACCAACGGCTTTGCCAGCCAAAGGTTTTGGCTTACTAAAGACTGTGATCTGACATGCTCCTGCCCTGCCATACAGCAAACCTTTAACACAGCTAAACTGAATGCTGGCATTAGGCACTGATTCATGGCTACAGTGAACCTTTCTCAGCCTGTTTTTCTATGTATTTTGTCATTTAGATTGAAGAACTTCTCCAGCAGTGACCTGGCATTCTCCTCAGGGAAAGACTTTGGAGAAAACAGTGGATTGGCTGTGTATGTAGCTGAGGCAATCGATGCAAGTGTCAACTGGGAAGACATCAAATGGCTTCGAGGGCTGACCTCACTGCCTATTGTCGCAAAAGGAATCCTCAGGGGTGTGTAGCTCTGCTGCTTCCTGTGGGGTAGGCGAGGTGCCCCTTTGCACAGGGAAGGGAAAGTGCTGCTGCTGGGCAAGTTTCTGTAGAATTGCTTAGAACTGCATTACTTTTAAGTGGAAAGCATCCACTTCCCTGATACGGAATATGGTGGGATCTACATTTGTATTTCTGTGCTGTGTTAAATGGAAGATGTACCAAAAGAGACTCAAAACAAGCAGAAGTAAAAAAAACCTTCTCCATGCATGGTTAGGAACCCAGCAACAAAGACACTTGCAGAAGCAGCTGCTTAAATAAGTACCAGATGGTTTGTATGGCTGTGCTACAGGGTGTATTTACCTTGATGTTCTATAGGTAAGGACCAGAGCTTACTAAACGTGTAAGTTGGTCAGCTGGCATGGCATCAGTTATGTCTGAAATCAGACGCAACCAGGAAGATGGAACTTGCTCTGTTGGTTGTGCCTGTAAACTCTATATACAACTTCAAGGAAAGCTGGATTTCCATTCTGTCAAAAGAGCATTTAGCACAGTGTAGTGGTTTCATTAAGTATGGATTATTGTTGTAATCATGCCAATAATTTTGCCTTGGAGAAAGTCATTCAGCAAAGTAAATTTCTTTGTGATGAGTTCCAGAATGTGGTGGAGAAAATAAAGGCTTGCAACTGAAGAGGCTGCTAATCCAAAGCACTCAAATGTTCTGCTCCCACATTTCAAACTACTTTTCTGGTCTTCTTTCTTAGAGATAAAACTTTTCTCTGTGTTGAGATGGGGCTTTGGAAGGGTGAAGCCCTAAAGTGGCTTTGCATTACCTGGCAATGTGTTTTTTAGTGATGCCAAACTTTCCTTCATCATGGTGTCAATGCTCCCAGTTATGGAAGGGCATATTGTGCCTCTTTGTTTTCCAGCTGACGATGCTAAAGAAGCGGTAAAGATTGGGGTAAATGGTATCCTGGTGTCAAATCATGGGGCACGCCAACTTGATGGGGTCCCTGCAACTGTAAGTACTGGTGCTGATATACACCAGTAGTCTCTGGTTCTCTCTACCTTTTGGCTTCTTATTTGCTTCTCTGAACACATGGTAGCTGGAAGAAAAACCTGTAAATATGTGATATATGCCTTAACCCACAAACAGTAATCTTCCTCCTCTTCTCTATGTATGTCATATCATACTCTGTTTGTCAGACACAGCCTCCCCTTGGTCAGATCAGACAGTAAAACATAGGAGGGTTGATGTGTGCCTGTTTCTTCAAGCTACCTGAGCACCCTGTCCTTGGCTGCAGCACCCTGCATGGAAACCTAGAGCAGTTTCAGACAGAGCATTACTGTCAGTTAAAGCTTTAGAAACTGGAAATACTTTAAGGATTTTCTTTTCCAGTCTCCTCATCCATTTCTCCTTTCTTATCCTTTTCTGAAAACCCCTTGTTGCCATCTGCAGCACATCGAAGGTTGTTTTTTCCCTTTAATATTCTTCAGAGGCTTCTAAAAAATTACAGGGTTAAAGAACAGCTAAAGGCAGAATGAAACTCTCCCTTTTTCTCTTTTCAAACATTTTTACCTTTGGAAAAGGTACAGAGTGGTTAAATTACGTTATTTTTTCCCTTTCCTTTTCCTTGTCATGCTACCCCGTGCCTTTTCCAAAGGTGAAAGGGATTTGAGAAGTCCTCATCTGGCAAAACAGAAAGAAGTAAAGGAAAATGAAAAAGTATGTGTTCAGGCTGAAGGAAAACCCTCAAAATTCCAGTCATCACTCATCTTGCTCCGTTTGGTGTGGGAAAGCTGCATAAGTAAAAAGAGAATGAAAGGGAGGAGAATCAAAGCCTGGTTGCGACTGTTTCAGTATTCCTAATGTGTCCTTGATGAAAAACCTCCTGTTTTCCATGATGGTTCTCTGAAGGGAGAGGGGGACAGGTAAACCCTTTTTCAATGCTGAGAGCACAAAGCCTTATCTGCTCATCCCCGCTGTCCCACTGGCATGTTCCCCCTGCAGTGCCCAGCACACTTCTCTCTGCTCTCTCGTCAAGGACTAGATGTATCCTTGAATCTATCCTCAGGCATGGATTTCCCCAGCTGTTTTCCTTCAACCATTGACTTTCAGAGGTCTTCTCATATACCCAGTGATCATCTGGTTGTGTTGGCTGGTTCTTCAGCACCCAAGCCCTGCATTGGGAAGCCAAATGCCAGCACAAATGGTTTTCTAAATGGTTAATGAAGTTGAGGCATTGACCTCTGAGTTGAGGCATTATGCTCCGAGATGCTCTTGCCTGGCTGTCTCCAACTACTCCGAGGGATCAGTAGGAAAAAAGACTTCCTGATGTCAGGAATTCTCCAGTTTCAAAAGAAAGACTGAGATTTTTCTTTTTCAGATATGATTTAGTGCTGTTGGAGAGTTGCAGCTATTCAGCACCACATACCTTAAGGGGAACTGAATTTTCAGAGTGTGGGTCCCTAAACCTTCTGAAATGAAATTTTATCTTCATCTTCTGTTCTCTTTATCTTCTTATCACCTTCTGAGCATATATTCCCCAATTTCAATTAGAGTATTTGAAAATCTTGGGCAAGTCTATATATGAGCTAATCCAACAGGGAGGATGTATAAGGATGTTAAAAATGTTATTTTGAGGAATGAGAAAGCTCAAGAAACATGATTTTTTTTTGCCAAAATCAGTAGAACATTCTGTTCAAACTATCTGTTATGAGATGTTCCTTTGCAACACCACAGAGCAGGGGAGAAGGCACTATTAAAGCTGATGTATTCACTGGATTTCATCGTACAAAGACACTACTTCTCACAATGGAAATATCTGGAAAGATCATGCTAAATGTTTCTGCTTTAAAACCATAATAATTTGCTTTAATTCCATGGCTTTTCAGAACGTGAGCTGAACTCAAGCTAGTTAATATTTCCAGTGTCCAGTTACACATTGAGGAAATCGATGTTTTAATTATGGTTTGCATCATACTTTAGCTATTACAGCACTTAATGTCGGTACGGTTTGTCAGGATGTAGAAAGTGGTCTCTGTATATGGAAATAGATCCCAAATATGTTTGGCAAAGAGAGCAAAACCAAAGGGAGGGGAAAAAAATCACAGCAAGTGCCAAACTTCAAGAAAATGTTAATCCAAATCTAAAAACAAACTGCACTTTCAAGTCTTCCCCCCATCATCTCCTGGTCATTTTTCATCCATTAGAAAGGAAATGAATTACATCCGTCTTTAAAAGACGTGAATTTGTGGGCCTTTTGTCTTACTACCACACACTGTTTCCAGTCTCCTTAGCATTTGGCTTCCAGTGTTGCGTCTTTCCTGATTTTCATGGATGGGAACTATTTAGGCATTATGGGAACAGTTGCCCTGTAACTAATGCTTGAGGTTTGAATTCAAGAGGCTCATCTCTTCATTGGGACCTCTTGCCTGGTGTGAACATGTTGCTTAACTCCCTTGTCACTTGTAACTTAGGAACAGTAAAAATCCTTTCCACCCTTAACTTTTATCACTACTGTAGGGGATTAGAAGAGCTCAGTGAAAGTAATATACAAGTGCAGTAAAAGAAAGCATTTCCCACCTAGATAAAAATTCAGAGGAAAGCTGGCTTTTTTCCTCTTATGATGAAGTCTCCTCTAGATTTTCAAAAGGAATAATACATTCATTAAAATTTTTAAGCCAACTCTAAGTTCTTTAGGGCACATCTTTCTCTTCCTCCATGTCTTTGGGTACAATACCTGCCTCTGGGCTCCTGGATGCTTGCTGATCCTTAGTATAAATGAATAATAAATGTAAACAAGAAAGCAAAGATGGTTATTTAAAGGTGACAGTGATTCACTTTCATCCCCAAGCTGATGAACACTGGATGTTTGGGGTGGGGGTGGGGGGTAATACAAAGAAAAGGCCTCTCTGCTTGCTGTTTCTTATATACTTCACATGTATCTGATACTGGCTTATGTCACACACATGTCATAGGATCAGATGGCCATTTTATGTGACCCTGCTGATTCTCATTCTATTTATGTGACTCTCCAAATAAATTTGACCTTTGTGTACATCTGCTAACTTGCTAAGTCACTGCTGTTCTTCAATGCAAAGCTGTGCTATTTGTGCATATAGTTAGGCATGCAACTGCTCATTTAACTTCTTTAAAGCTCGGATCATGTATGTAAGAATTCATTCACAAAATAAATAGGAAGCAGACAAGCTGTATTCCTGTTTTACTCTTTCAGATTGATGTCTTGCCTGAAATCGTTGAGGCTGTGGAGGGGAAGGTGGAGGTGTTCCTAGACGGTGGTGTAAGAAAAGGCACAGACGTTCTCAAAGCACTTGCTCTTGGTGCCAGAGCTGTGTTCATTGGAAGACCTCTCATCTGGGGCTTGGTTTATCAAGTAAGTCAGAAAAACCTCAATTTTATGTGTTTGTAGATATCTAGACTCCCTGTTTAAGCTCAGTGTATGCACAAATGTGTATGTGTGTGCACATAGGAGTGCGTGTGTGATGGTACCCGAGTGTGTCCGTGTGTATCCAGACCATCTGATTTAAAATTTGCTATGACAAGTACTCAGGAGTTACAGTTGTGCATGAAACTTCGTTGGCTCAGTATGCATGTCTGTATTTACACACGTGAGCTATATGTACACATAATAGTACATATTGTCTCCTAATCTCTTAGGGTGAAGAAGGAGCAAAAGAGGTTCTCCAGATGCTGAAGGAAGAGTTTCGCCTGGCAATGGCACTGACAGGTGAGACATCAGTGTTTCCCCTCAGTAATCACACTTTCTTATTGCTTTTATTTGCCCTTGGCAAGATGCTATAGTAACTTACACAAAGGAGATGGAAATGTTTGCAGTATAAACAGGTTAGTCTATGGAGAATTGGGAAGAAGACTTGTTATCCCTGTCTTATAGATGGGACCTGAGCAGGTAAGCTAATAGCGATAAAAGATCTTTTTCACAAGGAGAGCAATACATCCATAGAAAAGTAGTGGAAAATCCTCAGTCGCTAAGGGGTGGATTTCATCTGACAGAATGTAGATTTCTATAGGGCAGGAAAAGAAAAGGCACAGAGTAGGATGGAAAAGCAGGGCTTTCAACTGATATGTAACTTCCACTCCAGGGTGCCGGAGAGTAGAAGAAATCGGCAGGACGCTGATACGAAGACATCAAGTATTGTCTTCCAAGATTTAGGTCTGAAGATTATTGCCTAGTGTCTTGCCTGTTGTACGGAAAGTGGGCTACCAGATAAAAAGCAACTGTGTTCACTCTTTGGGCTTCATCCTGCAATCCTGACTGAGAAGAAGTGGTCTGTAGGAGACGACTTGCTGAAGAATGTGCTTAACGCAAATGTTACAGGTGTTTCTGTATTCTCTTAGGGTCCTAAGGAAAACTGCTCTACTGGGAGTTGTGATTAAAGATGGGCCTTTATAGAAGACCAATATAGAAACTTCAAGGTGTTTTGCATCAAACCTAGTATTAACTTACATGCCTGGAAGTAACTCCGATGTTAAAGTGAAACTATAAACTGTTTGACAGCAAACCACTATCAAAATGGAGAAATTTAAAATGTGAAAGATAGTTCTTGCTTACTGTTAGAGAAACTACACTGTAGATTGTGGAGATTAAATCTTGCTTGCTTGTGGACATAGTGTCATTTCCCTAAACACTATATGCTATTACTTACAACTAAGAGTCCTCTAAGCTCCTACTGCCTACATGCTTAGAAAGAACTGAATAGCAAAGCAAAATTAGGGAAATTCTGCTATTTAAGTGACATAAAGCCCCTCTGCAACGAGACAATGTTACACATGTACATCAGGTCTAGGTCAGCCTCTTGGCTGGTGCAAACCCTTGCAGCCCTATTGCCTTCAGCAAACTGCACCAACTGCACCCAGCTGAAGCTGTGAGTCCGGTTTTCACCTGGATTCATTTGCTGACAGTGGCAAGTGAAGGCTGATGCTACCTGGGAGATTTTGTAGGATTTGCAGCCATGTGCAAAGGAGGAACTTGAATAATTGAGGCATTAACCCTTCACTTGGGAAGATCCTAGTGGCCCTACTCAGTTTCCATGAACACCCTTCAGACAGATAAATCTTAGTGTTACTCACTCTGTTTATGATGTGGATACAGAGACAGGCAGGATCTGCTGAACAATCCAAATCCCCACTGAATTCAGGAGAAATTTTGCCCTGTAAAAGGGTACCTTCATACTACAGAGTGACCTTTCCTTAAGTGAGCAAGCAGGCAGAGGAGGTAAGACTCTACTAATCTCCTCTTGGGTAAAACTAAGGGTGGCTCTTCATGTGTCTCACTTCTGCTGCAGGTATAGCAATGTTACTGGAAGCAGGCAGAGGCCACTGCAGGAAGGTTTTGAAAATCTTATTGTGGAAATTCAGTGTTCATTTCTAAGGAGGAATAAAAGAAACCCCAAAAGCCTTGGTTTCATTGTTCACTGTCACTGACATCACTGGCTCCACCGTTTGTTTCCCATCAGTGTCAGAAGGCCTCATGTGTTCTGACTCTCCCTTTTTGCTCTGTTTGACATATCCCTTACCGAGCTTTAGAGGCAGCTTTGTAATAAAATGATGGAATATTATAATGTGAACTAAAGCTGGGGCTGGAACTCAGAAAGGGGAGAAAACCCAAAAGGCCACATGCTTGCCCTCCAGTTGTAAAATCCATACTCTTATTTACTGCAGAATGCAGTGTGTTGTGTGAGGGTTGCGTAGCAACAAAATAAAGTTTATCTCTGTAAGGAAATATGAATGTTTCTCAGAGCACAGAGAAGCATAATTTCTGCTGTTTACTGCACTTATCATATCTGTTGCAATGTGGACTGTGTCAGATGTCAATTACAGACTAACTTCAGAAAGACTGTTTATTTTAGATAATATAAATGTTACTTAAAAGATAGGGGCATAATATCTTATGTTTACATGTTGAAGATCTATTTCTAAAGTTTAGAAGATGCAGTTTCCTGCCTCTGCCCCAACCAGATTCAAAGAAAGTTCTGTAACTCTGTGGTCCAGGATGAATTCTGATGGTGAGGCAACTGGTTTTGTTACATGTGCGTAGTTAACTATTTCTAGTTCCTGTGGGATAATGGCTTGACGTTATTTTTCCCTGCTTGTTATGTGAGAATTATTTGACTGCCTCCCAGTTCAATGCATTCAAACTCAAAATCAGAGCTAAATACTGAAAGGCTGTGAAACAGTGTTAACAGAAATGAGATTCATTCATCTCGTAGACTTCTGGTTTTAAAACATTAAAGAGTGAAGTGAATTTCCCTTGATTTTGAGCCAACCAAACACCAGTGGTTCCTGAAATTATTAGCAAAAGGCAGGGATTCTGTTTGGTTTTGGTTTCAGCTTTGAACGCAGAAAGACGAATGCCCCCATTTTAAAAGCTGAACAACACCCTGCCCAAGAAAAAGATCTGCCTCACAGTTGCTTTACCTGAAGAAGCCGAGAAGAAAACCCAGCACACAGTGACAGATCTTTCTGTGGTTTGTGAGGGTGTTTCCAAGGAGAATATAAGCAATGTAACAGAAGCAATAATAGGCTTTTGTGAGAGATGTTAAAAAAAATGTCATTTTTGTGAGAAAAATACAGTATTTGTCCGTGAAGTAACAAGTGAACCCACCAAACTCTTAGGAGCAGTCACAGTCCTCAGATCAAGGCAGAGAAGCCAGGGGGAATAGAAGAGAAGGCTGCATGGAGACCTCATAGCGGCCTTCCAGTATCTGAAGGGGGGCTATAGGGATACTGGGGAGGGACTCTTCATTAGGGACTGTAGTGACAGGACAAGGGGTAACGGGTTAAAACTTAAACTGAGGAAGTTTAGATTGGATATAAGGAAGGAGTTCTTTGCTGTGAGGGTGGTGAGGCACTGGAATGGGTTGCCAAGGGAGGTTGTGAATGCTCCATCCCTGGCAGTGTTCAAGGCCAGGTTGGACAAAGCCTTGAGTCAGATGGTTTAGTGTGAGGTGTCCCTGCCCATGGCAGGGGGGTTGGAACTGGATGATCTTAAGGTCCTTTCCAACCCTAACTATTCTATGATTCTATGATTTTGCATTTATGATACTTTAGGATATCTGCCTGCTTGCGTTTCAAATAACAAACAAAGTGTTTTGATGGTTTTAATTGTGAAATTATTTTCTGGCTTTACCTTAGTTCCATAATTAAGCCTTAGGTACCAAGGAAAATTGTCTGCATATTAAAAAATCTGGTAAGGGAAGAACAGCGAGTGATATTTATGACCCAGAAAGACAGCACTCAACTGGTGTGCTGGGTGCCTAGAAAAAGCGACACATTTGGGTGGCTGGTGACTGAAGGGGGTCCCCTAACCATCCCTCAGGTAGACCAGGAACATTCCCTGGAAAAGGAGATTTGAGCTCTTAATAAGGGCATGTTTATTGGAACTTTTGTGGGCAGAGAAGAGACCAAAAGCAAAACCTGACAGCACGGAAGAGAAGGAGGATCCTGTCATTTTTAGGTGAAACTTACCTCCCAAGAGGCTAAGATGTGAAGCAGGCTTTTACATAATGATATTTCATATTCAGCCTAAGCATGGATTTCCCTGGTGCTGCCAGTTTTGAAGATCCCCTTTTTGGAAGCATCCCCATAAAGTTGTCTGCTTTGCCCCAGGTGAGCCCATAGAGGACTAAACCCACTCTAGAGAGGATGTGTAGAAACCACTCGGGAGATTTGGAGAGTCTTCAGCCCTGGTTTGAGATCTAAACAACTGGACTTTCTAGCAAGATGTTCTAAAGAAAACAGTGTGTTTCAAAGTGGCAAGATCAATGAAAGAGCCTGTGATGTTTGGACGTCTGATGGAGCACATCAAGGCTCCTGCAGCGAGCAGGGCCCTCTTAAGAAATAAACAATACCGTTCTGCAAAAGACCTGCAGCAGAAGCTGCAAAGTGTGAGCAGTTTGTGCCTGGAGCATAGGTTTGGCTCCATTGGGAATGTCTTTGTTATAAAAGCCTGGTAGTTCAATACAGCAGAAGAGAGCACAGAGTCCAGCATTGCAGTTCGGTGAGCAGAAGATGGCAGGAGTCAGCCGAGGGTTGTAAGACCATCTGACCTTTCAGTTAAGTAGAGGAGGAGATTAGTGTAGCTTTGGGACAGATTTTATTCTCCTATTTGGCCTGTGGGTTCTTTGAAGCAGAGACCTGCTGCTTTTTGAATGCTTGGAGTCTGCGCACAGGGTGGAGAATCCAGTAAGTAAATAATAGGAGTCATAATTTAGTGCACTGAAGCTGAAGAGCTGTGAAAGACATGATCTGTTTTCTTGTGACCTCCACCTCTCGCTGTGACTCCGGGACACGTTATTGTGTTTTATTTTTACTAGTGGCCAAGTCAAACAAATAGCTCTGGAACTGGTAAGAACTCCACCTCCAGCCCCAGTTTTTCAGGTTAAGCATGAAACTTGTCTGTCTTACTGGGAATTTCTGAACATAAATAAACAGACACTTAGAGTAACTGGCTTTGATAAATGGGCAGCGTAGGTCGGGGCCTGCTGGATATGCAGGCGACCCAAAGATGAAGCAGACTGGGGAAGCAGGCAGGAATGGCTCTGCTTTTCTTGGCTTCTCAAATGGTTTTCAGGCTGAAATCAAATACTTGAGAGCATGAGGAAAGCTGGCTTCTGAAGTCATGATTTTGCACTGAACCTCACTGTAAGGATATCTCTTATAAAGCTACTTTTGATGTGGAAATTTGGCTCCAAACCACACTGAAGGCCATTATAAATAACCACTTCATCACAGGACACACAGAAGTTGGCTTCCTTGAACACTCCTAGAAAGCAAGTCTAACCTTATTGAGCCATAACCTCAGCTAGTGTAAATCAGAGAAGCTCCATTGACTTCATTAGTTTATACTGATTTACACCAGCTGTGACTGTGGCCCACAAGACAGCAAGATATGTCAGCTTCTAAATTCTGTCACTGAGTGTTGAACAAAACTGTTTTTAAAACAAGACTGGCAATCCCAGATTTAGACACTAATGAGACACAGCACTGTAATCGTTTCACGATGCCTATATGCTCCATTTTGGTTTCATTTTTGCCTTGCTTCTGTTTTTCTTATCTCCTGCCAAACACAGGGAGAGTACCACATATGTTGGGTTCATAACAAAGATGTTTTGCTGCTTTGAGAACATGTCCTCCAGATGCAAAATGCCTTTGTGTTATAGTTTAGCTTCTTCCTTTGCATAGGTGCATTGGTTATGAGCCAATACAAGAATGCTCTTGAGGGCCAGCCCCATGTTTCTCCAGAGCCTGGAGTTCTTGACACCTCAAAGGCTGCCCTAGCTGAACTTCAAAGATCTGATTCCTTCTTAGAGATTTCAAGCTCCCAAATCATCATTTCACGTGGGCAGGGTGAATTGTGTCCAGGAGCAGTGTGATAGGAATGCCCTGAGACCATCAATACATCTCCTCTGTCACAATCCTGCAGGATGCTCATGTAGTTAACCATCCTGAGTAATTAATTGCACTGGCAGCACCTTTGTGGTATGGAAGGCTGGTAGATACATACAGCTGGTTTGTTCAGCTAAGGGGAAGACATTCATGTAGCTAGACTGACAATGATTAATACTGATTATCATTTCATGACAACAGCAGCTGTAAGTTCCAGTCAAGGTCAAGGCTGTTGTGCACTGCAAAGATGCTTTTCTGCAAGCAGCAGTCTCTACCCAACAGAGTCAGAAGTGTACACTGGCAGGCAAAGGAAGAGGAAGTCTCTTTCTATAAAATGGGGGTAGAAGCAAACTGATTTCCCCCGTTAAGTCCCTTAAATTTCAATTCCACTGCTTTAATTATAAATCATGCTGTTGTCCCTAAGCAGACAGCTCTGGGGTGGACATCATGTATCTCAAATACTCAGCAAGCACGGGGAAGGCCCACAGATGAACTACAGAGCAGAGGTAAAGCTGGGCCACAGCAGATCTTTTAACCTCCATATTTTTCCTTGCAGAAGCTGGAGCTCCTTATACAACTGGGACTGTATCTTGTGCTCTGCCAGTTTGCCAAACAGAAGCTGACTGTGGTGGCTTTGCAGTATGGGAATGGAAGAACTCTTATTCCTTGCTGGTTATCTGTAATTCAGTAGTATAACATGATTTTACTCGTGTTCTCCCCAAGCCCTACATTATAGCAACCCTTTTAATTCTGTATGCTGTGTTTTATTAGATTTTCCGGTTAGGAGGACCAAAAGTAGTGTATTTAAAACACCTAGCTGTCATTAAAAAATGACAGTTACTGCAGACTAGGTACTCATGATTAGGTTCACTTCACATGAGATTTGTCTGATTTTCAAGAATGGTCACAAAGACTTCAATGGAAGGTGCAAGGAACCTACAATAAGGCAAGGTGGCATGAACTTAGGTCTTACACAAACTCAGAATGTGTATTGTATGCATTTCCATGCGATACGATCAGCAAATAAGTTCAGCACGTATTGTTACCGGACTGAGAAATGTAACATGGATGTGACATACACAGTCTTCACAGCAGATGAGATCTGAATGCTGGTTGAGACGGGGATTTGAACAGCAGGATCACCTTACATACATAAGCTTTCTTCTGAGTCTGTATGTCCACTCTATCGAAGATAAGCTAGCCTGGTGTGTTGAAGAGTGTAGGTGAGGTCTCTACTATAATTCTAATACAGTCATTGGCTCTAGAGTTACACACCTGCAGCCTTCCCATTAAGGAATTAAGAGCAGCAAAAATTCAATTTGGTATAAGCAAATT